ACGCACATATGTGCTTTCATACCAGTCGCAGCTGCCCTAGATAGTAGTGGTGATGCTAGAGGCTTCGGCGTCTCTGATTCCACTGCTACTTATCGAGCAGATGCCGGAGCCAGTGCTGCATTAGTACCCCTCCATAAACCGAAAATCATATGCACTTCATGATCCCCGTGCCAGCCATCCAGATTGGGATACGTTCTCAGTTCAGCATCCGATTAAACATCATCTTGCGCCTGCGCGCCAACCAAACTTTCAGATTTACTGGGTCACCCAGTGTACCTTAACGCGCACTGTGCACGCGTAACCTGGCACGGAGTGTACAGTGCGTTGCCCCTTTGGAATAAGAGGACATGCACCGATCAGAATAGAACGCTTAAATGGCTTAGACTGAGTGCATTCAAGACTCAATCGGGAGAAAACTAACAGAGAGACGGGGCAATGGTTGTTTTAAAAGGATTCACAAACTGTCAATTCAGCCAAAATCTGTGGCAGGACACAGCAGAAGGCACAGTTGTTACCGATGATGTTCACCATGTAACTCCACAACAAGAGAGGTGCAAGGACGGTGCCTCGGACGTGAGATAGTTTACGTTGATAGCCGATGGGCTAGCAGGGCGTAAGCCTACGTCTACGTGTAACAGTACATGCCCTTCCCATGTGTGAGGGCGCACTTGATATGGGGTACGTATTGTCACTAACGTTTGGCATACACCAAGTTGGCCCCTGTGTTGGTCCAGCAGGTTTACCACGTGGCCCAGTTTAAGGGCACACACGCTGCAAACAGTCAGTAGCGTCGTGAAACCAACCACCACAGTTCGTTTTTATCGGATTGAGAGAGCTGGTATGGAAAAGAAGATTTGATCGCTGGAACAAGACTTTTATTCGTCCGATGCTCCAAAATCCGTCAAAGATCCATCATCATAGACCACAGCACCAACGGTTAATTCATACACAGGGAGCTGCAGTATTTGTAGGATACAGTCGCTATGCTACTGCATACTTATGACAATAAACGACTTCCCCTATCGAGGATACTTGTCCGCTTGTGCGCTAGTTGCTTGATAGTCGGTGTGACCTGCACCCGTGGTGAACTTAGAAGTGATGATTGCCCGGTCATCTGGCTCCCTAGCGCTGTCGTTAGACGACATGTTCGCCTGTGCGTTCCCCGAGTGGCGAATTGCTTTGGCCTAACTGAGCCTCTGCATCAAATATGGACTGGGCACGTTGTTGCACTTTTTTATAGCGTATAGCTGGTATTGTGACTTGGGTATGAATTAGTTTCCAATGAAGCAGACTTGTGGGACCGTTATCGCACTCTCTCCTCCCCAAGCACAGTCTGGCTCTATTGAAAAGCCAATGTCAAGTTAACCGAAGGTGAACGTGGTTGCCATGACTCACAGTGATAACTGCCCGTCCACACGTGCCACACACTATCTAGCCCCCACAGCTTGTACCAGGCCTTCATGAGGGTAGCTCCGGTCTCACAGATTTGCCAAGTCTAAACGTTAAAAGCCTGATCTGATACTATTCTCCATAGGACACTTAGCGTACATGGATGATGATGCTCGACAATCGCAAGCAATGACGTTTGCTGTATGCCCCAGGGAAAGGGCGCAGCAGCCCTGACTTGCGCGTGAAGTATTATATTATGGCGCGGACTTGCGCAGCATCAATCGCACTCCCTCCTCCCTAATCCACCTTACTTCGTAAGGTCGCAAGCAACTACGTCCCCTGCATGCTCTACGGAGCAGCACCGCTGAGCTGCGCTGCGCTACGTCTATCGCACTCTCTCTCTCTTCCTCCAGGCGCCTTGTTCTGGTGGCAAGGGCATTACCAGACGACCGAAATTAGGTGATAGGCGCAGTGGCTGAGGTAGCTATACAGTTCGTCTACAGGTGCCATATACGACCTGGTCCTCAGTGTATTGCTAGGCAGCTCAGATCCCGTATCAGCTAGAATACCATAATGTCCACATTCAGGAAATCTTATCGCAGACTGACTCTCAGCCCTGAGGACTAGGTTGTCCCGTCAGTTAGCAACCTG